ACAACTCCGATTTCCAGCCTTGCTGTGAGACAAGGCTACGTCGGCTGGCAGAGGCACAGCACCCCGAAGGACTGACAGGGGATTTTACACTGTGTTTTCCATGAAATCCAACCCCAAAAAAAAGAATCCTGTCCATGCTTAAATTGGTGACAAACAGCCCCATTAATTCCATCTCCAGCCATTTAGAAAGCTATGAGACAGAGACAGGACCCAAAATTATCATCAGACTGACTTGAAAGAACTGCTGGGCAGAGATTATTTGCTTAACTCTGTGTTTCAGCGTTCCTGCCTGCAAGTACTCTCACCCTTTACGTTATGGCACTTTTAAACTCATGTTCTAGTACTACCAGTGCTTCCAGGAGCAAGATGCTTATGGAAAAAACACCATGTAAACATAGCGGGATCAAGTACAGTTGTACTATACACCAGAGCACATAAAAAAAACCCATAACTCTATGTTTTCACTTTTAAACTTGAAAGAAATATAGTAAACACGTGATTACAGCAACTAAAACCAAAACATCTAGCCTGGATTAAAGAGATCCTCTTAATTTTAACCACGTAACAGGCTATTAGTTGCGTAAACAAACGTGTCTTTAAAAGTAAGATCACAGTTTCCCTTATTAAAACAGACAAAAAGGTTTCCCTACTTCCTATTGCAAAACCAATGCGAATACCAGCTTAGGTATTTCCTTTTCAGATGCTTTTTAAAGTCCTGACGAAAAGTATAATAGCAACCTTTTTGCTACTGAAATTTGGCAAAATGAAACGCTGGGGACCCCTTGAAGAAATAAATCAGTTCTGTTTTATATAAAAAGGGGGCAGAACGGGCACAACACGGATTTTTTCATAGCCCTTTTTTCATATACGTTGTCTTCCTCACCACAACAGCTCTGCAGAACACAGTGTACAGCACACATTGTGCCTCGTCATGAGCTGACAGCAACCAAAGGGAAGGTGAACCAAGTTATAAAATGAAGTATTTTTGCCTCTGTCTGGCCGGGAAGATAAATGATCTTGGTGATATTAAAGAGAAATGGGATACGGGGATCCAAAGAGCTCATTTTGCGTTAACTGCCATCTCCCCAACAAAAACAAGAGAAAGCAATTTCCTGGTGCATCAATTCCACCAGCAATTCCACGTACACTCACAAGTCAGAGACGCTGGCAAGCTCGCACTGCGCACCTCCTGCTAGTCTCAGATATCTAACAAACCAACTGCTCCCTATTCATTTCCTATTTTAAGCTAGGTTTCTCTGCCCCCCCCACCCAAGACATGCAGATACGCCCATACAAACCAATCAGCTTTAATAAACATATTCCTGCAAGTTAACAGCCTTTCAAATGACTCCAACACAAAACATCAGCTCCCCACAAGCGTAAGTCAAGCACTCCCAAATACCACCCCAGTCCTTTCACCATCCCAGTGCGTTTCAGAGCCATTACCCTTCCTGTTATTTTAAGGCCACACTCCCTCTCATCAAGCCCTGTCAGGACCTGGAAACTTTCATCATTTCACATGCAAAAAAACCCTCTACAGATAGAGTTACGATGGAAGAGAACTGAAAGCACGTGAAGCACCATAAACCGTCCCCCGATCCATTTACTCCACTAGACCAGCAGAAAGATGCAAACCTTACTTATCTTTCCATCCTCCTTCTCAATGTCTGTATTTATAGGGCATTTAAATCCTACTACTCCTGAAGAAGACTCCTGTCTACTGCAACTCTAAGCCAGTTCTAAGTATCTGTGCACACTCCTTGCCATTAGTTATGAAACCACCTCCCCTCTTCTTGACCTGTTCTCATTCATCTGCTGTTATTTAACTCTTTAAGGCTATTTGAGAGTCGCAACGTCACTAATCATGACGTAATTCTTAGAAATATGTTGCATTTTATGTTTCTAAATAGCACAATAAGCACGTACACAAGAAAAAACACAGATACAGGGGAGGTTCACCCCTCCTACACTTATTCTAAACCAAAACACATTGGCTATCTAGAACAGCAATCTTTCATAGCTTTTTTCAGCTCACCAGCCCCGATCAGTGCAGAAATCAGTGTAATGAACACACACCTATAGAGAACACACGTCCTTTGCTTCCTGTTGACCCCACAGAAGTTGTCTGCAGACAGCCAGGGTCCACTCCCTGCAAGCCACTGATCTAGAACTGAGTATCCTCTTACTGTTTGTTCTGCTACCCGAGAGCTTCCATTAAAACGGCATGACGTTCCTCAGCTCCAAACCGACCAGTCCTTCTACACCCATCCCTCCACAGCTTCCCATGAAACCCCATTTCCAGGAGCAAAGGCTGGCAGAAAACGAAACGCCGTGGTTTCAGCCACCTCGTTTTGCCGCAGATTTGGACGCGGCACAAGTCCTTCACGCTAAAGGCTGCCCAACCTACCTATAAATAGGCTCGAAGCTTCAGGCTCAGGAGACCGACAGCTAAACACGATCCTGCGCTACCTACGTGTGCAACAACGCCAGGGCAGGCAGGTACGCAGCTGGTTTATACTGGTAAAGGGGGGGGGGGGGGGGAATAGACAGAAAAGGATATAAAGCACCGACTGGGTATAACCAGTTGTGTTCTAGAGAGGAAAGCCTCTCAAGGTGCCATGGCTCGACCCACGAGGTTTAAGGGGCCCAATGGTGGGCGCAGCCCGAAGGGGGCATAAACCAGAGGGTCCCAGCTCCCCGTTCCTCTCCCCCTAGGTCAGGAGGGGGTCTCGAACCCGTGTCCCCCGGTCACCCCCTCTCTGGCCGCGGGTGACAGCGGCCGGGCGAAGGGGGTTGGTGGGCGGGGCGAGTCCGCGTGACCGGCTGAGCCGGCGGCACGTGGCCCCGACCATAACAAACAGGCGGGTGGGCGGGCGCGGGGCTCGCGCCATGCCAAGGGCGGGCGGAGGGGAGCGGGGAAAGGGAGGGGGGGGAGCGGGTAAGCAGCGCGGTGATTGGTCCGGAGGGGCGCGGTGGGCGTGGCCTCATGGACTAAAAGAGGGGGGGCGGCTGTCCCGCCGCCTTGGTGCAGTGCTGAGGAGGCGCCAGGCGGGGGCCGCGCGCGCTTCCCGCCCAAAGACCGATTCCCCCCCCCCCCCCTCCCCTCCATTACTCCCCCCTCACGGCCGGCCCCGCACCGCACCGCGCCCTCACACCCGCAACACCCGCGGGCTGCGCCTGTCCCCGCACCGCCGCTGCCCCGCTCCCACAGCGCCGATCCCCCCCCCAACCCCTTCCCGCCTCAGCAGCCTCCCGCCGCCCTTCCCCTCACGCCGAGCGCTTCGCCCCGCGCCCCCTTCACGCACGCACCCACCTGTGGGGCCGCCTCCATCACCCGCGGAGGAGCTGCGGGAGGGGAAGCGCTAAATATACCCCGCTGCCGGCGGCACCGCCTGTGTCACGGACCCGGGCGGGCGAGCGGCGGCGCGGCCCGGCCCTCCCCGCCCTCCTCCTCCTTCCCACCCCCCCCCCCCCCTCCCGTTCCCCTCCCGCATCTTGTTTTCTCCATACGCACTTCGAAATGCGGACCGGCCCCCCCCACACCCGGGGTGTTTTGGGGGGGATCGGTGCTATTTTGGCTCCATTCGGGATACCCACGCAGCGAGAAAGCAGCGCAGTCCCGTCTCTCCTCACACACCCCCCTCTGCAAACCGCAGCTCGGCTGTCACTTGGCTTTTCCCCCCGCGCACACACACACACGCACATCGCGACAGGCAAGCCCCCGCCATGTCGCGACAGCGGCCCGCGCACCTGCCGCGCACCGTCCGCCGCGCACATACCCATAGTTGCTGCCTCCTACCAGCGGGCTACGGGGGATGCTCACCCGGCTTCTCCCTTCCCCTTGCGGGAAGGCGACCGCTGCCCGCAGCCCCTGCGGAGCAGCCGGGCCGGGGGTGCTCGGCGCTGGCAGCCCAGGTGCGTGAGGGCTCGGCGGGCGGGGAGAGCAGCGGCCAAGGGAAGAGGGCGGCGGGAGCCGGGATGGATCGAGCCTCCCTTTCCCTCCCTTTTCCCTCCTCACACCAACCACCCCCCCCCCCCCCCCCCCCGCCGCTTGTGTTTACCTCAAGTTTGAATTTTATCTGCGCAACATGAGCTGGAATGCGGACATGGAGGGCGCGCACCCGCCCGCCGCTCCGCGGGGACACGCGGCACCCCCGCTCCGTCCTCCCGCACGCACGCACCCCCTCAGCCCGCACCCCGACACCACCACCCCGCCGCTCCTCGCACCGCCACCGCGCAAACATGGCGCGGCCGCCGCGCACCGCCACCCCCTCCGGCGGGCTCCCCCCCCCCCCCCGGCCTCCCCAGCCCGCGTCCCGCCGGTAACTTACCTCCGAGAGCGGCCGCTGCTCCGCCGGTTCCAGTCCTCCTCCGAAGGGGGACGGTGCCACACGCCAGCCCCATCAGCGGGGCCGCCGGCCGCCGAGACAGGTGCAAGCGCGGCGGGCGGGCCGGGGTTGGGACCCGGGGCGGTCCCGGGGAGGGGGGTACCGCTTCTTCCCCGCCGCCTCCCCGAACGCTTCCCTCCCTCCGCACAACGTTGTTTCATTATATCATGTCCATCATGTGACGCCCGGAGGCCTCTCTATGGAAACTTAAAGGGGACTTTCATGTGACGACGGACACCGCGGAACGGACCCACCGGCTACAAACGCGGGGCAGCCCCGCAACTCACCCGCACCTCCTCACACCCCCACCGCCCCTCAGCCTTGCGGGTCAAGGCGAGTCGCTTGCGCTTGCTTTGCGGTCATTATTGCTGGTAATAAGAATAATTAGAGCGGGTTGTTTCGGGTTCCCTCCTCTCTTTACACCGCTAACGGGAAACAGCCGAACGGGCATTTCTAAGGGGTGGACCCCGCTCCTGGACGGTGCGCGACATGGTGCACGGCTGGTGCTGGGACCGGTTGGGACATAAAGAAATAGAAAACTGAAAAGGTAATAAAAAGGTGGTGCGGGGGGGGGGGGGGGGGGGGAGGGAACACTGTGCGAGGCTAAGGCGGGTGGAGACGGGAGCGATGCCGTGCGGGGCGGCCGGAGGCGGTGGTTAACCGCCGGTTGGCGGGGGAGCGATTCCCCGCTCTCACCTGTAACACCTCCGGCTCTCCGCGGAGGGCTGCAGGCGCTGGAAGGAGCCGTACGCTCCCCACTGCAACAGCACAGCCCCCCGTGTACAAAACAAGAGGAGCGAAAAGGGGTAAGAACGGAGCCGTTTTCCGGCCCTGGAGCAGCCCCCGGGGTCCCGCCGCCTGCCCGCGTTCCTCAGGCTGCTGTTCCGCCTGCGGTGCTGAAGTGGGTTTGTTTTCCCAGCTGTTCTCCGGCCCCCAGGATTTTGGATGAGATTTGGGACATGAAGCCCACCAGTTCCAGCGCCAACCCCCTGCCTGGCCATGCGCAGGGGGGTCCCGGGTTTTTCCCTATGGAATGGAGTGCATGTTTCCCGCAGGAGCTCCCCTAATTCTGCTCCCGAAACAGGGGGATCACAGTGGTCAAGTGTAAGGTTTAAGGGTCTGGCTTGTAGGGGGGATGGATTTGCTGTTAAAAACTGAAGGAGGACAAGGTGTCACTTTCATTCCCTCTTTACAGCTTCCATGGAAGTCGCAGCCCCCGAGCAGATTAAAGCGTGACCCACAGGTGTAAGAGATTTTAACTCTGGAATTTCAGTTCTCCAGTGTCCCACCGAGTTTTCTCTGAGGGAGTCATTTAACCAACCACTTTACTGTCTGCAGGTTGACACTGATGCCTGTCACGCATACCATAAGCCATAGGAGGGACCAGAGCTGCCCAGATAGACCACCCGGGCCCAGTGCTGGTATTGTCGGCAGGTAAAATCCGTTCACTCTCCCATTAAAGCTGTTGAAGTACCTGTGCTACAACCCGCTCATTTCCGAGTGCCTGTGCACTGTGTATATAGCTGTATATAGATACCTCTGCTATTGTTTTTCAAGTTTTACAGGAATTTTGTAGGAATTATGAATTATTTTAGCTCAAAAGAGTTAACCGAGTGAGGAACAGTACATCCTTCATCCCTTCCTTCTTGCTAGAGTCTTTCCTCTATCCACCCTACACTCCATCTTTTTTTATCCATCCTTTCCCATCCAACTCTGGAAGGATATCTACCTCGGGGTTCCTTTCTACCATTTTATCCAGGTTGTCCCACTGCCACAGAGTCAAGCTCCAGCATGCCTCACTTTCCATCCCCCTGGGCCTTATTTCCCTACCTCACTACGCCTCTTTTTATTCCATATTCCCATCTCCAGATCACCCTTAAAGGAGAAAGAAGCTGGAGCAGGGATATAAAGTAGTCTTCTAGGAGTACTGCCAGAACCGATCTGTTTTTACTCTGCTGCTGCTGCTGTTGCTGTTCTGCTGTGTCATGGGAAGAGAGTTACCTAGCCCACACCAACCCTCAGAAACAGCAATGAGCCGCTTGCTGCAGACCCGAGCTGTGTTTCACAGAGCTGAAGGATGAGTTTTCCTGGTGGAGGATTTCGACTGGAAGAAGAAGGATTCACTCCCTTGCTGGGCTCCGACACGGACATCGCTGTTGGGAGATTTGCAGGAGGCAGAGTGGCGGCGGCAGCACTGACAGCGCAGCATCACACAGCTTTATTTCATGTTGTCGAGGCAAAATGCTTTAGGTTACAGCTGAGGAGAAAAGCAAACGATCCATTTCTGTAAATAGGGTTCTTTCTCCCCAATTTACTTTAAATTCTTGAAAGGTCTTGTGCTAAGAAAGAGCAGGAATTCTGCCTCCTCTTAAAAAACATTGTTATAAAATCTTTACAATCTCCTTCCACCTGAGCCTGTTTCCTTCAAACACTTACTTTCAAAAACAGGAGGTTTAAAGGTGACTCTTCTCTTTTCCTTCCTAAGTTTATATTCTTTGGAAAGGCCTGAAGAAGCCAAAGGCTGTGTCTGCCTGTGAATGAAGAATTTTTGAGTAAACACCAGCATTCACATATACACACATGCACAGGATTTAAAGCATCCCGTTGAAGTGCACATATAGGAAAATCTTTCATCATATGGTAAGCTTTAATATCTGCCTCAAAATTAATCCCTGACTGATGGACTCTGTTGTGGCAGATCACAGGAGGTTCAGTACTGAGGTACCTCTGCAGGGCTTTAAAACAGCCAAATAAAATCCCCCCATTTGCTTTTGGGTTAATTTGTGGTTTAACAGCAGCTACCTGGGAAATGCTCATCTCGTGAAAGCAAGTGAGAAAACTTTATAAGGCTCCAGTCCTATTTCTTCCACAACGAAATAAAGATTTTTCTTGTGGGGTCAGGACAAGATCTGATGCTATTCCATGAGGAAATGGTTAAAGCACCCTGCAGAGTTCTTCAGTTCCTCTGTTAGAGGTAACACCCCTGGGCTTTATTAGAACTCGAGCTTCGGACATGCTTCTGGTTACTTCTCAGCATTGTCTTTGCTTCATTTTGGTTAGTTTTTGTCACTGAAACCAAATCTTCTCGTTTCACTTCTCTTTCTAATTCATTTCACTCTTTAGTTCCCACATGTTAGAAAGTGCAGTTTCATTTCGACTCTTGACAGCTGAAAGCCCCATTCCAGAAAGCAATTTGCAGCAATGTATTTGCTTTGCCACTCACTGCTCAAACAGATCTAAGCATAAACAATGCTGACAGCCCCTCAAAACCAAACCCAAATTGTGAAATTGGGGCAAATAGCCCAGAGAACCTGAAATGTTTTGGGTTTAAAACACTGCCTGCTGTCAAAAAAGAGGGTAAAATAAAGCTTTGTTTACGTGTAGAGCTCAGTGTTTGTTGATCAAGTTTCTAAGGTGATGCAGCAGGAAGTACTGATCTTAGGCAAAATGACATGAACAAAGCATGAAACTATAATTCAGCAGCTATTTGTCAACTAATAACAGGAAAATAAAGGGTATTTTAAAAGCAGTGAGGGGTTTCCATTGAACTTTTACTCCTCCTTACTGGTAAATACAAAGGCAGCCTCTCACCTGCTCTGCTCCTGTATATAACTATTTGCAAGAGTAGAGTTAAATCACTTGTCAGGAGGAATGTTTCCATGGGATGCAAATACTTACACTAGCTGCTCTTTCTACGTCATGTTACGGACGAGACTGATGCTCGAGCAAGGTTATAATGTACCTGCATCTTCCCCAGCTTGGTGCCAAGCTTGCTGAGTCATTTTCCCTGTTCCCATTCTGCAGTCGGCTGCTCGCTCGCTTTTCCCTGTTATTTGTGTGGGTCGTAAGCTCAGCAACAGATGAAAATAAACGCTGAGATTTCTTCAGGCTGCCTCCCTAAGGAAATAAAGGTTCTGCTGTGCCGCTTCTCTGTTCACATTCATGGCCATCCCCCTCTCCCTAAAGCTTCTGAACCCATTAATTAATTTCAGATGAATTTGGGGAGAAAACAGGTATTTCAAAGACACACTCAGGTTCCTGGAAGTTGCACACGGGCAGCAGGGAGAGATCTGGATTAGAAACTGAAGCAGAACTTAGCCATAACACATCAGGGCTGTCAGCCACCTCCCAGCCACCCAACCCATGTGTGCCAGCTGAGTAACCTATATGTAGCTACACCACTGTCATACCCTGCCTGGTGTAGTTTTTGCTGTCAGGCAAGAGATACCATAAAGAAGCAGAGGAACCAGGATAGTTGGGGGAATGAGCTGTTTTCAAAGCAAAACAGTAGAGGGTTTTAAGGAATACCACTGTATGCAAGGGAAAAATTAGTGCCTGGGAATGCATTTATGGAGTTTTGGGGAACGATCAAGCTTTTGTATCACTCTCAAAGCAAACCACGGCAGAGGATCCAAGTTGGGCTGTTCTTTGAGCTGGCACAGCTTTTCAGTCTAGTTGATCTTGGCACTAAAGCTATAGGCAAGGATCCCCTATCCACACCTCTTCCAGATGCTGTCAGTAGGTGTGTTGCTGTATGAGATGCCTATATCACCAAGAACAGCCCCAACCACAGGCTTCACCCTGCTGAGCCCTACAGCCCCATTCTCCCATCTACCTTTGTGGTCCAGCCTCTCTGTAGCTGACACTCAGAAAGTGTCACAAAGCCTGGGGTGTCTCCTTATGGATAGAAAGGGAACGTGCTGGGTTTCTACCTAGGCTGGAGCCCTCCCAACTGCCTAACCAAGATTATGGCATGGCAGAGCTCTAGCCCTGCATCTCCACCTCCAGTTATGCTGGGAGACAAACACAGGGATGATGGTCATGCCAGGACCAGAGGACAGGATCAGACCCATTCCTACCTGAGAGCACGGGCTTAATTTGTACATCTTTTCTCTCCCAGCTGCACCTTGTTGGGGCCAACTCCTGCAGGACAGCCATCCTAACACTGCGCATAACATATGCTCTCATCTCAATTGCAATTAGTTTGATGCAACAAACAGTTTTAGTGTGACAAACTGCAAGCTAAAAAAAGCTGTGCCTTCATGTGCATTAACTGGGTGCACAAAATACGTGTTGTGTGTCATCTCCTTATGTCCCGTATTTGTTCCTGCATCAGTAACAAATGGCATATGCTCCAGGAATACCACACAGGCTGAATGGACTCCTGGAAGTACAGGAGTGATCTGGCACTGGAACTCTTTAAAGCTTGTTCTGCCTGGAGAAGAGAAGGCTCTGGGGAGAATAACACCTAAAGGGGCTGACAAGAAACCTAGAGAGGGGCTTGGGACAAGGGCCTGTAGGGACAGGCCAAGGGGAATGGCTTGAACCTGCCAGGGGAGAGACTGAGATGAGACATTAGGAGACAGAAAAGCTGTGGCTGCCCCATCCCTGGCAGTGTTCAAGGCCAGGTTGGACACAGGGGCTTGGAGCAAGCTGCTCCAGTGGAAGGGGTCCCTGCCTGTGGCAGGGGTTGGAACTGGATGAGCTTTAAAGTCCCTTCAACCCATACCGATCTGGGATGCTATGATACTATAATAATAGCTGTTGTACCATGAGATGCTGTTACGGACCTCTTCTGGAAGTAAGACTTTTACATACAAGTTAAGATTCACTAACCTCTGATGATTACACAACTAGAGCCAGCCTCTCCATCAAGGAGCAATATTGTCTGTTTCAGCTCCTAGACACCAACTGAGATCAGGTGCCTTCCTTTCCAGGACACTCTACAGTCATACCCTAGGAGATCACCTTTGCCTTGAAGGGCTTACAAAACAAAAACACAACAGAGTGAGCAACGTGACGCCCAGGCAGAGCAAACACGGCGACCTTTTGCAAATGTCAAGTTAATACCATGATCTGGAAGTGAAAGGGGTTTATCAGACAGTGGATGGGTCAATAGGGATGGGAGACACTTGAGGTTAGGGGGGTGAAGTGAAGGCAAAGCCATAGAAGAAGCTGTTTGGTATGAGATGGAGAGGAAGAGCACACAGAGCATTCTGTGGCCAATTGGCACATCCAGGATAAAAAACAGGGAGGAAAAATGGGTCTGATGACCATGCCCCCAGTATAACCAGCTCCTCTCTGTAACCTCTTTCCCAAAGGCACACTGCCTGGAGAGGGGAGATGGAGAAGGCAGGGGGTGGACAGCATGGTTTCTCCTCCATGCTGGTTCTGCTCAGGCGGCCAGAGGTGTGACAACCCTGTTTTGGGGTTGTTTCTCTCTGCGGCTCAGCCTCCTGCAGCTGTGTTTGTTGCAGCTGAGCCTCAGGGCTGCAGTGAGATGTAGTTCAGTGCTTTAAGTCCAGGGCAGCACGTAATTGAATATTAACAGGAACAGCTCCAGGAGCTACTGGGACTCAGGAAGTCACAATTCCTCCTCCGCTGCTCCTTCGTCTTAGTGGGAGGTGATTGCTGGAGGCCTTAATGGATGTGAGACATAATATGCTTCCCTCACATTAGCTCCAGTTAGCAAACCGAGGCTTTAACCACATCCTACCCTCTCTGATCATTTCCTCATGCACCTTTTCAGCAGCAACACGGGAAGTGTTCTAGCTGCAGCCACCTCAGTGTCCCACAGGTGACCAAGCGGATCAGTGCAGAGACCATATGAACAGTGATTTCATACCTTATTTCTCAATGAACAAAGGGGGTCCCATCTTTAAGGCCTATCAAAATTTGCCTAGTATAAATGATTTAACTTTTTGTTGCATCCTTCTGAGAATACAAATTATTTATTTGCTGAAGGAGGATACTATGAGCATCTTAAAATCATAGAAGAGTTAGGGTTGGAAAGGACCTTAAGATCATCTAGTTCCAACCCCCAAAGGTCTATAAAGTGATTTCTGCAAAGTCTATAAAGTGATTTTTAAATTGAAAACCATTGGTGTCATGCTTTTGGTAAATATTCCAGGTAAAATACAGCAAGAAATTCATAGTTACTGGTGACTCTTCATGACTGTTAAGAGCTGACCAGCACTCAGTAGCTCCCTCTCCAAAAAGTATGGATGGATATCTGCATTAAGTTCACTCTCGCATTGTTACTTGGATGGAATAAACAGTGTTTTACAAGAAGAAAGATGCCCACAGAAACCTGTCCATTCCATCTGATCATTGAGAACTTGGTGCTATTTATGAAGGGAGAAGATAGCACCTTCAGAGTACCAGACAATTCCCTAACACCCCAGGGCTGTGCTGAGCAGCAGTCAAACTCTTAAACTCCTTCTTTTTCTCTTCTTTCTCACTTTAACAGTCACAATGTCCTTGACCTTGATGTATCATTCTCCTCCATGTCCACCAGCACTTGTTCATTGCATGACCCCTTCAGTTTTCAAAAAGCCCTTCCTCAATCCCCTTTTGTCATCAGTTGATGTACAATAGACTCTACTATGAGGCTGCTTCTGGGTTTGTTTGCTTTCTCTCTTCCTTTATCCCTACCCAGAGACATCCAGCAGCTTGTCTCATAATCTTCCTAGAGTTCAGAGAAAGCACATTCCTCTTCCTTTTTCCTGCCCTTCTTGAACATCAAACTGGCATACTTTATTCATATGTTATTCCTTTATTTGCAAATTAGGAGTTCCTTGTTAGGGAAAAGTGGGAAATGCTCCTGTTTCCCTGCCATGCAATGCGTGGGTTTTGCACAATCCCTTTGAATTCCAGCGCTTTGGCATTTCTAGCCCTTGGAAGTGAGGACCCCAGCACCACATTCACCCCCCTGTCAACCACATGCTGGTTGTGGGAGATGTGCAGGCAAGGAGGTTCTTGGCTCTGCTTAAATAGAGCTATATTTGTACATTAGGAAAGCAAAGTGGTAAAACTGCAGCAGAGCGGAGGAAAGATTGATTTTGCTATTGGACAAGGAAAGCTCCATGCTTCACTTGGTATCGCTGCCGTCCTCCTGTTGTTGGGTAATTAATTAACACCAACAGTGTGTCTGAAGCTCTTCTAAAGCACAAACACAAGATTTGCATCAGTGCTTTGCATTCTGGGCAGGCACAGGAAACATGGAAGCATTGGCACATCTAGAGAGAGCACACTCAGAAAAGGAGAGATGGAGACAGACCTTGGTGCCCTGAGGAGAATCCAGCCATCCCTTTCCAGACAGGAAAAGAATAGGAATTAATTTAGGAATTTTAATTCAAACGAATTTGCTTTGAATTAGAAATATTTGGGGTTTGATTTTTGTTGTTTTATTTTTCTTCCCCAGATACCCAGTAACAACGATCTTTGTAGGTAATCAAGTCAATTTAGTTAAGTTGCACCCAGAACAATTGCCAATATCTTTTTTATAAGTCTCCTCTGTCCTAGAAGATAGCTTTTATCTTCTCATGCATTTTTTCCCCCTTCTGGATAAAAAGCAAAGAAAATCCTCCGAGTTTTTGGAACTATTGACAACCCTTGCTTCTTTCCTCTACCCCGCTACAGTTTGCCTACATTTCTTCTACCTTCTCCTAGCACAACATCCAAACCCAACCAAACCTGGTATTTCAACCAAGTCCTTATTAAATTGCTTCTGGTGTTTCACCTCTTGTT